GGATTTTTGGCACTTGCAGAAGCATTTGTTAGATGGCATCTTTCCAAAGGTTGCTTGCTGAGATTTTGGTTACAAGGCTGGGCTGGAAGCAGGACTGGACGGTGCTGCCACTTTGGAGGCTCTTGGGTTTACTCAACAGCCACGGTTGGTCACTGATGTTGACTGCTCTCAGCAGCAGCAGCTATGCAGCTTGGGGCTGGCAACAGGGCTGGCAACAGGGCTGGTGCTATCAGGAAGATTATTTTGGGTTTTGACAACTGTGGAAAAAATAGACTGGAGGAGAGACTAAAGGCATAGCAAGTAGAATGTGGGGCTCAGAGTCAAGAAGACCTGAAGTCCTGCCTGATTCGCTTAATTAACTGCATAACTCTGGGCACTTCACTTAACATTTAACAGTGGTCAGTTTGCTGATCTATAAAATCTACCATACAAGGTTGTGCAAGGATCTAATGAAATGATAAAGCATTTATTAAAGGTGCAGTGCTAAGTGCTGGGGATACACATGCAGGCAAATAACATAGTCTTTATGTTAAAGGCACTTTTATCTTAGTGGAGAAAGACAGTACATAAGGGGGAACTGGAGATCAGGGGAGGAGGAGAGAGGGCAAGGATGTTTTTGAAGAGATAAGAGATATCCAGAGGGAACTGAGCTGGTAGTAAAGCTAGGGCTTTTTATGAAATGGGGGTGAGGGGTGGGGAGTGGGTCCAACTATTACGTTATTGGTGGAGTTGTGAACTAACCCAGCTATTCTGGAGAGCAATTTGGAATTATGCCTAAAGGGCTCTAAAACTGTGCACATACTCTTTGACCCAGCAATACCACTAGTAGGTCTGATGTATCCTAAAGGGATCATTTTGTCTTTTTTTTGGTGAGGCAATTGGGGTTAAGTGACTTGCCCAGGGTCACACAGCTAGTAAAGTATTATGTGTCTGAGGCCGGATTTGAACTCAGGTCCTCCTGAATCCAGGGCCGGTGCTCTATCCACTGCGCCACCTAGCTGCCCCCTAAAGGGATCATTTTGAAAAGGACATATATGTACAAAAATATTGATAGCAGCTCTTCTTGTGGTGGCCAAGAATTGGAAATTGAGGGGTTACCCATCAGTTGGGGAATGGCTAAGTCATGGTATATGATTATGATGGAATACTATTTTGGTATAAGAAATGATAAGGGGGGGTTGTTTCAGAAAAACCTGGGAAGACTTATATGAATTGATGCAAAGTGATGTGAGCATAACCAAGAAACTATCATACACAGTAACAACAATATTGTACAATGATCCATTGTCAATGACAGCTATTTTGAGTAATACAATGATCCAAGACAATACTGAAGGACTTACGATGACAAATGGTGTCCACTTCCAGAGAAAGAACTAATGGAGTCTAAATGCAGATCAAAGCATACTTTTTTTTTTTACTTTGTTTTGGTCTTTTTTTTGTGTAATAATATGGAAATATGTTTTGCATGACTTCACATGTATTATCAATATCAAATTGCTTGCCTTCTCAGGGAGGGTGGAGGGAAGGAGATAGAGAATTTGCAACTCAAAATTTTAAAAAAGTGAATGTTAAAAAAAATTTACATGTAATGGAGGTAAAGAATTTTAAATGAAATGGTGGGGTCCGGAGTAGGGACTTACTAGTCAGGAGAGTGGGCCTCTGAGCAGAGATATGTTCATGATGAGAAAGCTATTTGCAAACCACATAGAGCCATATGGATGCCAACTATCATTGTAATTCTATATAAGAGGTAATAAGGGCCAGAATTAGGGTGGCATCAAGAGAGTAAAGAGAAAGGAAAAGATGGAAAAGACGTTACGTAAGTAAAAATGACCTGATTTGGCAACTAATGGATGGGTTTCTAGGGTAGGGGAAGAAGAAAGAAGTGGTAAAGGAGATAGGAATTTCCAAGATGACTCTAGTGTTGGGAGCATTCATTTACCTAGGGGGAGGAGAGCTGCATACTGGTGGGCACAATGCCCAATCCATGATTCCCTGCAGCTGAGTAATAGAACCTCAGCTGGAAACTATTTACCACTTCTCCCCACACTGACTTAACAGCTCTAAGATGGAAAGGACAGCACTCACTGCAGGGGCCCAGGCCCATTGGCTGGGAAATAGATTGGATGCTGGTGGAAGGCCAGGAAATAGAGAGTGAGATGGGTTGGGATGATGTAAGCTCCATTCTGCCTATACTATGGTAGATATGGAGGTGGTCTTGGTATATTAGGCAGAATAGAAAATAGAAAATTACTGAGTTGTTGTTTAGTACCCGAAGTGCTAACAGTAGTATGGCAGTAAAAACAGCACTGCTGGATTGGTGGGGAACACCCAAGTTCTAGTTCAGGTTCTAAACTAAATGATATTTACTAGCTGTATCATAGAAAACTCCCTTAACCTGCTTCATTGCCTTTAAAATAGGGATAATTATACTTGCCCTAGGTTCACCACAGGGTTGCTCCAATAATAGTTCATATGTATGTTATGGTATATGTTATTATGTTATGGTATATGTATATTGTTTACATATTTTATATTTATATATATTATGTAAGGTTTACAAATTGCTTTCCTCCCAATAACCTTATGAGGTGGGTAATAGAAGGTTTTGGATCTTTATCCAGATCTGTCATTGCATTTTGTGTTGTGAATGCCCAACAAGGAAACTCTGTCCAAAGAAATCAGCAACTATTCTGCAATTTTTAGTCTTAAAGAGAGAAGTCTGGAGCACTGAGAGGTTACACACACAGCCAGTATTGTCAGATGTGGGACTTGAACTTCCTGACATCACCCTGCTTCTTGTGTGCATTTTGAAGATAAAGAAAATAAGAATAAAAGTTCTGGTTTGCTGGAGGTCATACAGTTGGCAAGAATAATAACACTGTAGTAGAGCCAGGATTCAAACTGAGGTCTTCTGTCTCTAATTTCAATGTTCTTGTAACTATACTATGCTGTAGAGGAATTTGGAATACTGAAAAACATAAGGTTAGTTATCATGCTGATGAAAGTATTAGCCTACAGATGGATTGAGGGCAGAATTTGAGATCTATGGGAAGTCAGCTAAAGGGCTATCAGAAAGAGGGCGTGCCTAGATAGGAGTTGTGGCAATGGGAATGGGGAAGGAACACACAGGAGTTATTTCAAAGGAGAAATAGACAGGTCTTGGATCTAGAAACAAAGGCAGAAAGGATCTCAAGGTCCGAATGTAAATATGGAGTTGTCACCCTAGTTAGATGTTGCAAGAGGACAAGTGATAAAGAGTTTAACTTCTCATTGTCCTAGGTTTACCTCCATTTTAATATTATGTACAATCCATGAGGTTTTAGCTTATGAAATGTCACTATTTTGTGATCCCTTTCATCCCTTTAAGACTTTCCCTGATGGCTAGCAAAGAGGGAAACGACTTATAACTCAATTCAACAAGCATATATTAAACATTATGTGCAAAGCCCTGGGCTAGGTACTAAGGATACAAAAGGCAAAACCAGTTTCTGCCACCAGAGTTTTCATTCTACTTGGGCGCTGGGTGTGGGGATGGTCTTCCAAAATGCATTTACTAGGTAAGTGTAGCACCATTCAAGGAGGGATAGAGCATTTATGATTAAGGGAATCAGAAAAGGCTTCTAGAGAACACCTTGAAGGAAGCTAAGGATTTTGACAGGATATGAGAAAGGAAAACATTTCCAGGCATGTAGGACAGTCTAAAAGAAGATACAGACAGTGGAGGACAACTTATACTGTGTGTCCCCCATGTCATGCATTTCATAGACACCCTTACTGCTTCCAGACTCCTCCAGGTCTATCCTACAGCTACTTGGGAATTTTCATCACTTGTTCACAATTCCTTTGAGGCCCCTAACCTATATAACAATTTGCCTCTCCTTTAGCTGTGGGTGTGTGTATATGGGTGTGGAAGAGGTATGGAAAGTATAAAATGAGAAGGTATAAACAGAGTCAGGGGGGTGAGGTATCAGAAAGAGTTCCTGTAAGTGGTAGAAAATACCTTCTTGAACTATGTACTTGTAAACATATTAACCTAATTTAAAACACCGGCTAAATACCAGTTATATTCTTCTAATAATTTAATTTGTGCCAAGGAAAGGAATAACCTTTTCTCTATCACTCATCCAAGGACACTATTATGAAATGCTTGGGGGAGCGAAGACTTCCCAAGATTTTTCTACCCAGGATTTGCAGAAATTCCATGGGAAGACCAGGGGAAAAGTAGCAGAGAATAGGAGGTGAAACAGGAAGCCATCTAGAACATACTAATAAGCCTCAGAGGCCTGTGCACATTCTGCTGCTTGGTAGGATCTTGCTCTATTAAAAACAAAGATTGATTTTGGACTTTTGATATGTAACTCGCATAGGATATAATCATTTCTGTTTATAGAAATAGAAATCATATTTTAAAAAAGACCCATCTAGTATGAGCTTTTGTCCTTACTTGTAAACACTGTCTTTCTCAGAAGTGAAATCTCTGATTTCATTTGGCTGTTTTTCTTCAGTTGTGTTTATAAGTGACTTGAAAGTAAATTCCCCATCCAAGAGGTAAATTTAACTGCTTTGGGAGAGATGATAACCTTTCCCCTGAATGCATTCCTTAGTTCAGTCTAGTTCACGCTTAGCCATGTTCTGAGAACCTGCTTTGTCAGTACTGCTTCTGATACACCCAATTTCATGCCTATCTCTGCCTTTGTACTGTTTCCTTATTATAGAACACACTCCCTGCAAGACTCAGCTCAAGTATCACCATGAAATATTTTCTGTATCTCCCAGATGACCTCCCCTCAAGTAATATAACCTTCCCCAAAATAATCAATACAATGTAACTTCCCCCCAAATAATCACTTCATATATAGTATATATATTTTACCCTTAGAATATAAGCTTCTTGAAGGCATGGGCGTTTATTTTTTTAACTCCCAGTGCTCAGGACAGCACCTGACACACAGCAGGAGCTTAATAAATGCTTCCTGATTTTTTTTTTTCACTAGACAAGGCCAATCTACTCTGGTCCTGAGGCTTTTAAAGGATCAAAATCTAGAAGGATAAGTTTCCCAGTGTTTTACTTCTTGTCCTGGAATCAATTCATATTCTAGGATGCAGGTCCACCCTACAGCCAGGGATGTACTAGGTAAGCATGCCTGACAGTTCCCTTTGTGCCTGGGGAGTGAGAGAATGCTATGTAACTCTGAATTAATAGCATCTTCATTTTGCAGTTAAAATTCAGGAGCACTAAACAGTGGTATAGTGAGTTGAGTGTCTAATATAGAATTCCTTTCACTGCTTTACCTTTACATCTCCAGAAAATGTAATACCCTAATTCCCATGTTCTTCAAATCAAGATTTTTGTTTTGTAGAGCACTTCAAATTGCCTTTGTGAAGTATGAAGGTCACTTAGGATTCTACTCTCAAATTCCAAAAAAAATTTGAAAAGCTAACGTTTCTGATTGTCAAGTCAGCAAGTCCATATTAAGGACTTAACTTTATATGAGCAGTCAGTGTTGCTGCTTTGGCATAAGTATAATGTAAACCAGTTTTTTCATGATACATCCTTAGGTTAATTTTAAAATTAACAGTTTTGTAAAGCTCTTAAATATCTGAAACCTTTAATAGAAACACGAGAGTTCCTAGAAAATAAATCTATGCATGTATGGTCTATATTAGATTGCTTGCCTCCTTGGGGAGGAGGGAAGGAAGGGAGGGAGAAAAAAATTTGGAACTCAAAAGCTTATAAAAATGAATGTTGAAAAAAAATTTTAAAAAGAAAAGAAATCTGGTAGTTTTCTTTCAAAATAATGGATTTCAACTGAAATAAGTTTTCTTTCTAACCACTTGTTGAGATAAAAAAAATTAAGTTTAGAATCTCAATTTGTAGAATTCATTTATAGAATGTAGAATTCCACTGATTATCCTTTAAAGTCTTATTTTGTACTACAGTCAGTGATATCATGACCACCTTTTTTTCTTAGCTTGTCAGTAAAAATTCAAATCCTTTCCTGAAGAAGGAACTAAGTTTGCTATATTCTGTCTTTGCCTATTGCTTAATACAACACATGTGCTGAAAGACAGACACTATTTTTTGCACATGTAAGTTAACTTCTGTTTGTTCCAGAGCAGGCCTGTATAACATTGGGCCCGTGGTCAGATTATGGCCCACCAAAGAATTTCTCTCAGCCCTTGAAAAATGTAGAGGTTATGAAAGAAAGCAAAGATGTAACCAGTGCTTCATCAGCGCCCCGCTTAACCTGCCTTCCATTAGTCATTATTGTGTCTGTCATGACTCTCTCCTGTTTGTCACGTGACCTGTCTGTCTCTAGTCTTGAGAGGAGTGAGTCGAATCTTTCCACTGTTTTCAGTCCATTGAACAGGGTTTTACAAAGTGAGCGCCGCCACGTGCCAACACAGCCGATGCCTGCTATGCAATGAGTGGCAACAACTGGAGAGCTTCTTCCCTTCTCTCACTATTCGGCTGCCCTCCGAGTTACATGAGTGTCTGGCGCACTCTCCAAGGTGAGACACTCAGTTTAGTATTTCTTTGTATGTGAGCAGTTGCTGTGGAGGTTTTTTGGTTCTAACATTAAAGTTTTGGGGTGCCTTTGTAAAATGGGTGATAAAAAGAAACACAAGATCGAATCATAACATACGAGTGTTTAATCTGGAGTGGACAGATAGATATTTGTTTACTTACATGAAAGACAGAGTATTGTGCCTTGTTTGCAGAGAATTAATAACCATTCCAAAGGAATACAATCTTCATTGCCATTTTGAATCAAAACATCCTGACTTAAGCAAATTGGATACCAATGAAAAACAAATTAAAGCATCCAAATTGTTGAAAAATCTTAGTGGGGAACAACGGTTTGTCAAGAAAGTAAACTCAAATCTATTTCAAACATAATTCTGGAGTAAGAAAACCTGAAAAATGTATTAAAACTTGTGCTGCTTAGCAAAGTAATTTTTTTTAACATTAATGTGATTTCATGATAAATAAAAATCTTAACTAACAAGTGTAATTAATTGATATTAACTGAAATTTCCCTTTTTAAAAAATATGGTTTGATTTCAAATCCAGCCTCAGACACTTAATGCTTACTAGTTGTGTGACCTTGGGCAAGTCACTTAACCCCGATAGCCTAAGGGGGGGGGGAAGGTTCATTTGCAAAATAGTTTAATCATTAATTATACCTTTACTTGGAAATTGAGCTGCTAAAAACCTATCTGTGGCCCAAAAAAGTTTAGCCTATTTTAATTTTGGCCCCTACCTATGGCCAAGTTGTGCAGTCTGTTCCGAAGTAAAGGTTAGGGATAATTAATAGTTAATCAATCCAAAGTGCTATGCTTGGTCCCTAACCTAAAACATATGGTCTTTCCAGAAGTAAAATGTATTAACATGTAAAAAAACACTTTGTCCATCTCATTCTTAAATACTCTGATTTCAGTTAGCAAGGGGTGAGTAGAACTTACTATTAGCATCGGTGATGCTAATTTTTAACAAATTAAAATGATCAACTATCACCACAAAAGCCAAACAGAAACAAGAGGGTTACTAATGTCTTCTATTTATTCATTAATAAAAAGTGCATAGTACAAGCCCTTTACCCCAATCCAAGTACTCAATAAAAGATTAACAGGAAACCCTGGATGGCACAGACATGATTTGTTTGGCATAATTTAGACATTTTAAACCAGCAATTAACATTTAGTACATCACATGACAACTTTTCCTTTTTTTGTTTGTTTTTTAAACAAAGTGATCTTCAGACATAACGAACACACATGATTCTTCTTCATTTAAGAATATAATATATTAAGAGACTAAACCTACTACTGCAATAACAAAGATTTAATCCATTAACTGTTAACTCTCTCTTCATTGCGTCTTCAGGTTGCTGGAATTCCTGCCTTAAGAATTCAGCTGGCAATGTTTTTAAACAGATCTGAATAGTGAAACACTTTTATTTAATATTTAATATCTTCCAAGGTTCCTTCTAAAATGTGAGCTATATAAATTCCATATAAACACGATGGTACACTTTCAATTCACAAATCACAAAAGACACCAAAAGTAACCTTGTGATAGGCTGTGACTGATAGTTACTTCAGAGAATTTTTGCAAGTTTAAAAATGCGACTTGCTGAACATGGGATCATGGCCTGGTACATCATAAAATATTTCACTACAAAACATTTCCAACTTAGCTTTTCTAATATGAAAGCCAAAAGTATTGTTTTGCATAAATAAAAATAATTATGTGGTAACAAACAAAATGATCTCTTAATAACATACTATTTGCAGTGTTTAAGTGCCACTGGTGATTTTAAAAGATGGGGCCCTAATCTTTTTTTTTCCAGACTATTAAAAAAAATTTTTTTTAAAAGCATTGTAGTGATGGTCTTAAGCTAATGCTTATAAGGCAAATGACTTACTAGTTTGTTCAACAAAAAGGCATCAATCATGCTTCCAAAGCTTTAAGGGTTGTGTTAGTTGCATTGTAAAATGCTGTTTTATGAATGGTCTGTGTTACCTCACTCTATCACAGGTGCTGAAGAATTTTACAAGCAACACAATTAGAGTCAATACTCTGTGAAGATAAGAACTACTGTTAATAATTTGTAGATAAGTAACCTGATACAAAGAAAAAGAAAAAAAAACCACAAACGTGCTTCAGCTCAGATACCAAATAAATACCAGCAACAAGGCCGTAAGGTCTTGGCATAGAAACAAGAAACAAGGGCACAAGGCTGACTCTAGACTGTCTGGTACTATGTTACTTAAAACTGTTCCAAACTGCAGTCAGCTCTCAATTATTTGTGTGCTGCTGGAATACTGTATGCATTCTATCTGCCAACAGCAGGCTTCCCAGCAACTTAGAGGATATGGAGACTGGGAGGAAGAGGGGGGAGATGAAGGGGCAGAGTTTTCAGAACTGAGGGTACAAGGGTCCCCACCTTTCATCTAAGGTGCTGCTACCCTGCCTGATTCATCCTCTATAAGTGTATAGCTGGGAAAGTAGAGTTTGATTGTCTAATGGATCACAGCTAAGGGAAACCATTATTTTGGGGGATTAAGACTTCCAGTATTTAACTTCCTGGGATATGATACCCCTCTATTAGCATAAGTAAGTAGAAGTTGGTTATATTAATTCATCAAGTTGGTCAGAAAACTAAGATGTACAAAAAAGAATTCAAGTTAGGAATATCAGATTGTATATTTAAAATTATGACCTTACATAGTGTAGATGGCCTAAAATGCAATCTTTAAAAAAAAATACTCCCTTAAGTGTCACAGGACTATATCAGAGACTGTATTACACAGTACAATGATATAGAGAAGTTTATTCAACTTATACAAGTGCAAGATCTGTACAATGACAGGCTATGCTGATTTTGCATTTATGATGAAAAAAGTCTTATACTGAATAGCAGTGTACATTCCAGATCCCCATAAGTTGTTCTCATTCACTAGGAAAAATTCCATAGCCAAGTAGGACATGTACACATATTCTTTATATTATTCTCACTCATTTTTCCAAACTGACCAAGAAAAACATACAACTTTATTTTTTCTGTACATTTCAAAAATGCTCTTAAATTAATATCCACAAACATTCCTCCAATTAGCTAAAATAGGACCCACACAGTAAGGGGAGAGAGCAAGCATCTCTCATTCTTCCCCATCTGCCATATCTTTCCTGTGAATCAACAAAGGATTCATAAAGGTTTGTTAAAAGGTTGGAAAGAGCACTGAAGTCAAAACAATTTTCAAAGATGACAGAGAATTAGCAAGTAAAACCGTATTTGAAAATGAGTGGCCAAAGAGGCACCCATAAAGTTTTAAAGTTATGCTTACAGAAAGGAAAAGCAATAATCCAAGTTTCAGTTCTAAAAACTTGGAGCCAATAAGTCAAAAGGTATTTTTAATTTTAATAGGTTCTCATCATAAACAATAAATTATAGTTTAAATTAAAATGATATAGGTTACTTCCAGCATAGTCAGGAATTGTTAAATTTTCTCCTTTTATAAACCTTGTAAGTCTAGTGCTCAGTGGCTTACAAATATTTTATATAATGGACAGTTAATTATGTACTTTATCAATTACATTTATTGAACTTTTTAATGTAAAATAATTTCATGAAAGGTAGTAAAAGCTTAGTAAACAATCATTTAATTTCTGCTTTCTTTTTCCAAGCATACAAGTCAGTTCTAACGGGCTTCTGCCACCAATGCAAAAATTCCATGAAGTTAAAAAGTCTGGAGGATAGGAAGAAGACCACCATCCATATAAATGGTCACTATTGGGTTGAATATAAATACAATGTGGTTCTAATTTCCCCAGATGAGTCCAAATAACTTTAAAAGTATGCCTTAGGCAAAAAAAAAAAATCAATCTTACGAAACTATCAAAACCATTTCATGGGTTTAAATGCAGAGATTGCAATTCTCCTTCAATTAGGCCAGAAATTATCTCACACACACACACACACACACACAAAATCATAACCATTACAAAGAGAGTAAGTGGAATGTTTAAGGTCTGGAGACCTCAGAATCCCATGTGACTCCTTTAAGAAAAAAAATCATTTACTCAAATATACTCTTAATAGGAATGATGGCAACATGGGAAGCAAAAATTAGATCACAGTAAAATTTCTAGTAGCTCATGAAAACAATACCATCCTATGCTGTAAATGCAAAGGGAAAAATGGTACTAATTGGGTTAAGAGTACTCTGGTCATTTTCTTCCATTTGGTCGTGCAAGGTGTTAGCTGTTTTCATTTTCTATCATACAAAGTCTAGTCCACAGGAGGAGCTGGTGGATCTTGTCCCTGGCAAAAAAAAAAAATCCGAAAGACAATGAAATTAACTTTTTCCGAAACTACAGCTAACACAACAGGGAGAACTGATGAGAAAAATTTTTTTTCTTGATTGCTTTTTCCAGGATTTTACACATTAGGGAGGCTACAGTTTTAAGGTGATTACTTACAGTAATAACTTAGCATAGCACATAAACATTCCCAAATAACAAAGGCACTTTCCTAAGCTTTTCTTTCTTAATGGGGAAGTAAGGCCAGTCATTCTGACCATTAAATATTACCACATGCGGAGGAGCTTAGGAAAGCAAATAATTGGGATAATGTCATGTTAAATTTAAAAATGTGCTAGAAGAAATAAATCACTTGAGCAAAATGGGAAAAAATTAAAAATCAAGTTTGAATACTGGCTCTGATAATGAACTTTCTGCAATCCTGAAAATAATTACGGTTTTGAGACTTTCTACTTCTACTGTTCAATCTGCAAAAAAATGGTGATGGTTTTTTAAATGGGCACACTGGCAAAGTAGGCATTCTTCGTGCTGGGAGACAAGTGGAAATCACAACATTAAAAAAAAGAAACTACTACATAAAATTTTAATCTCATTTTGAACATACAGATATAACACATTATATAGTTCCCTCTCCCTTCCCCTCCAACAACCACCACCACCACCACCACTAGCAACAACAAACAAATAAGCAAATTGGGTTTCCTGATCCATAACACTTACATTATGTGGACTGGTTGGTTTTCCACCTATGATGGATCCTCTCAGATTAAAAGGTCTCATTAGGAACAAGATCATTGCAATGGCCAACCAGAACATTATTATCATGGTAACACTGAGGCCAGGGTCAACAGAAGAATTCGGTCCTGGTACTAAAAACAAACAAACAAAAAGTTTATTTGAAAAAGAATGAAATCTTTGTAATATTTAAATTTTTGTATAAATACAAATAATGTACTAGCCAACATCTACTTCAGTATTAAAAAATAATATTGCATATAGAAAATAATTATGGAACAGAAATGGAAAATAAATTAAGAGGCCATAACCTAATAATTACTATTTTCATCTTTAAGGTTCGCATAATACTTAACAAATATTATCTTACTTTATCCTAACAACAACCCTGGAAGTTGGTGCTATTATTATCTCCATTCTACAAATGAGGAAACTGACACTGAGTGATGCTGAGTGTTCTGCTTAGGGTCATACAACTATTAAGTATCTGAGACTGGATTTGAACTCTACTCTTCTTGGCTTCAGCTCCAGCACATTATCCATTGTACTATCTAGAGCTGCTAACCAGAGGAAGACAGAAAATTATGGTTTGAGAAAGAGTACATCTACTAAAGTACACATAGCATAAAGAATACATCAAAAGAGCTTTGTGATTTTGTTCTAAATTAAAGATGAGAAAAAGTTGATCTTTCCACAACAGAAGTTTTTATTCAATTCAAAAGTCTATAAAGAGTTGCATTTAACTAAAACAAATGTGATAATATTTATGGTCAGAAATGGAAATATTTAAAATTGAGTTGTAAAATCTAAATTTAAAGTATATCATGTGACCAAACAGCCCCAGAGAAGAGCTAAGAAAATGCACCTCCCTGAACCGAGAAGCGTTGTTTGGTTTTTGCTAAACTGATTTTTCCCTTTTTCTTTTTTAATCTTTATCAAAAAGGAAAAAGGTTTAATTGTTATGTGTAGTGGAGATTTGGTTTTTGTTAAATTAAGAATTTTTAAAAAAAGAATTTATTTAAAAAACCCCAATCTAACCAAATTGAAAAAAAATCCACAAGATCAATGATATGAAGGAGATTGAGAGATCTTGAGTATGAAAAGACCCTGCCATCCTCTCAAGATAAATTGTTCCTTATCTCTCTTCTCTTTCAGTCAAACTGAGAAAAAGCTATTTTCACTCTCTGTTCCCTTTTCTCACTCTCACTCACTTTTTAACCCTACCTTCCAACCTCATCTTTTGACTTAAGCTACTTTCACAATTTGGAAGAGTTAAAAGAAAAGAGTCACAATGATGAACTAGAACTGTGTCATCCTAGAAAACAATTATTTGGAAATTATTCCTAAAAAGTTGATTGTCAGGGTAGCTAGGTGACGCAGTGGATAGAGCACCGCCCCTGGAGTCAAATCCGGCCTCAGACACATAATATTTCCTACCTGTGTGACTCTGGGTAAGTCACTTGCCTCACTAAAAACAAACCCAAAAAAAAGTTGATTGTGAATACCCTCTGACCCAGCAACACCTCTATTAAGTCTGTGCTCCAGAAATCAAAGGTAAAGGACACCTATAAAAATATTCATAGCAGCTTTCTGTAGGGAAGAACTGGAAATTAAGAGAATACCCATCAATTGGGGAATAGCTGAACAAATTATGGTATAAGAATGTAATGTTCTATTTTGTCATGAGAAATGATGAAAGGTATGGGTTCAGAGAAACCTGGGAAGACTTATGTTGTAATACAGAACATTATTTTGCCATTTAGGTAGTAGGGCCCTTTGAGCCATGGAAAGCAAAAGTTGGTGTTTAATTTTGCCCCAGACCTCTTTCCTCCTAAATCTAAACAACAGTGAAATGTATTCTTGCATAGCTCAGCATAGCCTGTACCTCCAACGCAAATGGATAAGAAAGCTTGCACTATAATTGCTTTAGATAATTATGTTTATACCAGAGACCAGGACACGTGGTCTAGTTTGTGTGATCTCTGATCTGTAATGATGGGGTGCTTGGGTGCTTGTGCCCCAATTTCTCCCTATCTCAGAAACACTGTCTCTAACAACCACTCCCCAGCCCAAGGACACTGTGCCTTAGCAGTTATTCATGCATGGGCCTCAGCATGACCCTCATCTCTCTCCCTGACACAGCTACACAGAGTTGGGCTGCTGAGGCCCCAGATCATGTCTCTGGAAGCCTCCCAATTCCTTAGTAAGTTCCTGTGTTGTAAGAAAGCTTTCCCCTCTTGCAGAGCATTCTCTCATCAAGACAGAGGGAGAGGGGTGTCCTTGGCCAGCCCAAGGACTCTTCCTCCTGCCAGACTCTAAAGATCCATCCTCTGTACTTTCCCATCCATAGCCCCCAAAGACACCTGCACCTTTGGATTACCTCATCAGTGTTCCTGGCATTTCTTTCCCATGCTCTTTTCCATATAAACCCTAGCTTGGCCCCTGATCAGGGCTGCTTGATTTGGGTGTGCATACCACTTGCAGCCGCGCGATCCACATTTTAAATTACGTCTGGGTCTTGCTCACTGATTTCTCAGTATAACAATGTGAACTGATGTATATTGAATTAAGGAAAACTATAAGAACAATCTATAGCAGTAAAACTGTAAATACAAATAACTGTGAAAGACAAGATCTCTGATGAATGCAATGACCAACCATGATTCCAGAGAACTGATTTATGCTACCCAGCTCCTGATAGAGAGGGGACGGATGCAAATGGTAGAACAAAATATAACATTTCTGGTCACGGACAATGTGGAAATTTGTTTTGCCTGACTGTATATTTGTTAAAAAGGATTTTTTTTTCTTCTTTTAAGTTTGGGGGAAGAAGAGAAAACAAATGCTTGTTAATTGAAAAATAAAGTGAAAAATTAAAAAAAAAATAAACTTTGTCAGTTAACAGTCAATAAACATTTATTAAGCTCCTACCATATGCCAGGCACTAGGCTAAGCTTTGTCTCCAAAGTAATCAATGATCTCTTAAAAATGCCAAATCCAATAGTGTTTTATCAACCCTCATCTCACTGTGTGTGTGTGTGTGTGTATAAGGGTAACTGGGGGTTAAGTGACTAGCCCACGGTCACACATCAACTAAGTGTGTCAAGTATCTGAGGCTGGATTTGAATTTAGGTCCTCCTGACTCTAGGGCCGCTGCTTTGTCCCCTGTGCCACCTAACTGCCCCATCATTTCATCCTTCTTGACCTGTCTTTATTTTTACACTTAACCACTTTCTCCTTCTGAATACTTTTTCTAATTTTTTTTTGGGGGGCTAGGCAATAGGGTTAAGTGATTTGCTCAGAGTCACACAGCTAGTAAGTGTTATGTGTCTGAGGCCGGATTTGAACTCAGGTCCTCCTGAATCCAGGGCCGAAATAATCTTTCTACTTGAATTTTATGACAGTACTTTCTTGGCTCTCCTACTTTTCCTTGGTCTCCTTTGCTGTCCAGTAACTGTGGGTTGTTTGCAAAGGCCCTAGGCTGGGACCTGCCATCTGTTCTTCCTACCTTTATACTCTTAAGTTCCCATGGATTTAACTATTATCTATGCAACTGATTCCATATATTTAGAGGACCCTAAAGAGTCAACTAAAAACTTGACTGAAGCAATAACTTCAGCAAGGTTTCAGGATATAAAATGTATCTGTTGTAAATCACCAGTTTTTCTCTACGCTACCAATAAACACCAGAAGAAAGAGATAAAAGAAAAACTACACTGAAAACAATGACAGGCAACATGGTAAGCAGTATCCACCTAAAATCAAAAGCCAGCTTTTGCAAATCCCCTACCAAGACATACAGAGGTGAAGCTTTAGACTTGCTTTAACTTGCATTTCTCTATTCATGATTTGGGGCATTTTTTCATATAGTTACTAATAGCTTGAATTTCTTCTTTTGAAAACCATATCATTTGATCATTTTGGAGAATGGCTCTTCTGATAAGTCTGAATGAATTCCTTATGTTGCCCTTATATCTTGATATGAAAGCTTTATCAGAGAAATTTGCTATAAAGATTTTTCTTGGTTAACTCTTTCTCTTTTCAATTTAACCACACTGGTCTTGTTCATACAAATATTTCAATTTTATAGAATAATATTGTCCATTTTATCTTCTGTGATCTTCTGTATCCCTAGTTTGGTCATGAATTCTTCCCCAAGCCATAGCTGTAAAAGTTATTTCCTCCTCTGATCCTCTCATTTGCTTATGTGACCTTTTATGTCTAAGTCATGTATCTATTTGGAATTTATCTTAGTATAGGCAGTAGGTAAGTAGACCATTCTGTAGACCTCTACATAAAGTGGGAAGGGAGGCAGCATATGATTCAAGAACAGGTGGGGGCTTGGGACGGAGAAGCAAGGACAGGAAGAGGAAGGAGGAGCATTGGGGGCCAAAGACAGGAGAAGACAGGTGATACGCAGGGGTCAGAGACAGACATGTGGTAGGGCTGACAGAAAAGCTGATCATTTATGCAGATATACTTTATATCCTGAAAACTTGCTGAAGTCATTGCTTCAATCAAGTTTTTAGTTGACTCTCTAGGGTCCTCTAAATACATACATCATTCACAAGAAGAGATAATTTTATTTCCTTTTTGCCTGTTTATTCTCTCAATTTCTTTTTCTTGTCCTTTTTCCTATAGCTAGCATTTTTTTTTGTATGAGTGATGCTGTATTTTATTTCACATTATTTACCTTGTAGACAAACTGGCTTATTTCTGCTACTGCAAAAAATCTCACAGAAGATCTTAAACTTCTACACATTAGACATAATGAACAATGAAGAAGTCTCATATGAAGTATTAACATCCATGGTTGTCTGTACAGCTAGCATTTTTAGTATTTCAAATGGGGGTGGTGATAATGGACATACTTGCTTTAATCCTGTCCTCACTGGAAAGGTCTCTAGCTTATCTCCATTACATAGCTGGCTTTTGATTTTAGGTGGATACTATTTACCATATTAAGAAAAAGTCAAAGATATACAGAGTTATCCTTTCCACATCAAGGGGGTAAGGGGAACAACACCTCTGTGATCTGCAAATCCACGTAAAATATTTTGGTCCTCCCTTGTATCAGAGAAAAAGTCTGAATTATTAATGGTATCAGAAGATAACATATGTTGATATTATACAA